AGTTAATCTTAAAGAATAATCCCTCCCTCCTTCCCATGTCACTTCCTCATAAAAAATAAAACCAAAAAACCCCAACAACCCAAAACAAAACAAATCATTGACAATGATCAGAAATGCAATGGTCAGGGGAAAAATGTTAAAAATGTTTATCACCGAATACTAAGACGCAGATAGTCTACCCAAATTTCTACAAAACATCAGTAATTTCACTATTATGCAACACATATTAAACTGAGTATCACTTGACAAATAAAGAAACTTTGGATCACAGGAGCACAGATTCAAAGCTAAAAGGGATCTCAGAAAAATCTGGTCTAACCCCCTCATTTTACAGATGAGGAAACTGAGGCATAAAGAAGTAAGGTGACTTGGCCAAGGTAACACAAGCAGTACGGATAGAGGTGACACCAGAGCCAGAGTTCTTTCCTATGCTATTTACCTCTGTGGTTTTCTCTAATCACCTGAAAACAAAGAATCTCTTTCAATTGTGCAACTGGCTGAGTCCATTCCCAGTACAGTTTGTCACTCTATAGTTCTAAGAAATTGTTCAGCCTCATATGGTAGATCATTATCACAAAGGATTTCCATCCTACCTACAGTATGCTCAGGGGGCAGTGAACCAAGAGTCAAAGGAAGAGCAGGGTAGATGGCTGGTGAATTCAAAGTATCATACCAGGCCCAGTCAGTAAGATTTAACAAACCTATTTTCATATGAGCTAGTCAAGAGAGAATTGGCCTGGCAGTCAGGAAACCTTGGTTCAAATTCCACCTCAGACACATCTTAGTTCTAGGACAGTAGCTGGTTAGTTAATGTCTTAGAGTCACAGAATCTTCATTTGTAATAACAATAATAATCACCACCTACCTCCCAGATGTCTTGGGGCAAAGGGCTTTGAAAACATTAAAGATTATATCTCCCTGTGGAGACAGAATCTGTTAGCTACTTTTGCCAGAGCTGCAGTCCCTTCCTCGTTAGCAGTCATGGCTACTGAAAACCCAGAAAATACAGTTCTCACCACCAAAGCCCTTGGCACCATCAAATGGCCCAACATCAGAAACAGGTATAGTTTCATTAAGGACATGACACTAAAGAAGCCAAATCTTAAGGTTTAATACACCTTTAGCTGAAACTTTCTATACACAGCGCCTCGTAAAAGTCTTAGCGCAGCTTTAAACTTAAAGCTTAATTTTATTAATTAAACAGTATTGTAGATCATTATGACAGTGTTGTTATCTCAAAGGATTTTCATCAGACCTAACAGCATACTTAGGATGCAATTCAGATTAACAAATCAATAAACATTTATTAAACATCTATTATATGTCAGACACTGTGCTAAGCACTGGGGATGCAAAAAGAAGCAGAAGACAAGTCCCTGACCTCAAGGAGCTCACAATCTAATGGGAGAGAAAACATACAAACAAACACTTACAAAGTAACCTAAATAGGGAATCATTAACAGAGGGACAGGGGCCAAGAACAGACCTCTGGAGCTATCTTCTAGATACCTCCCTTCCAGGAGATGTTGGTCATTACTAGTTTCATCTTTCAGTCAGCTCTATATCCACCTAACCGTACTATCATTTGGCCAACATCTCTCCACCCCATCGCCAGGGATAGTATGACAGGCTTTGTCAAATGCTTGGCTGGAATCTGGGGATGCTCTGCTTAGGATGTTTCCCTGATCCAGGTAACCTTATTTAAAAAAAAAAAAAAAGAAGAAGGAAACGAAGCTAGCTTGACATGATCTGCATTTGACAGTGGTTCCTGGTGATGACTATTGTAAAGTGGAGATGGCACTATACTTTTGAGTCAGAGGAGGCTCAGATTTTGGCTCTGCTGCCTGTGTAACCCTGGCCTTAAGGCCTTTAGGCGTCCCCTTCTTCTTCTCTAAAATAAAGGGCCTGGACTATAGGACTATAAAGTCTCTTCCAGTTCCAAACCAGTACACAAATCATCCCTTTAATAATGTGCTCTGGAATTTTGTCAGATTTAAAATTCATCTTTACCAGTTTTCATTTGCACACTCTCCACTCTCCCCACTTCTCTTTGAAAATCAGGGTAACATTTGACCTTTTCCGTGAACTTGGGCACCCTTCCCTCTCTTCATGAACTTTGAGGATCACTGGCAGTTAGCTACTGCCCAATTGCACTTGCCAAAATCTTTCAATTCCCTGGGCTATAGTCCATTTGGGACTGGTGACGATCCCAACAAGGATAGCTAGGCACTCTTTTACCATCTTCTTATTTATCTTGGGTTTCAACTGCCTCTATTTCAATTTAATTTGATCCTTTCCAGTCCAGTCTTTTCACTCCATTATTCCTTCCTAATCCATCCTTCCTACCTCCCTCCCTGTTCTTCCTCTAGCCCTCAACATAGCTAAAAATAAAAAAATGCTATTATCCTGAGTATTCAGTGCTGGCCTTAGTTCATCCTAAACTTTACTATTTTTGACACTGCTCTTACAGGGCCATGCCACTCTTTTGTTTTCATGTTCTGTGAGCTGCCCTTGCTTCCATATCCTATACTTGTTTTTTAAAACTATGCTAGTTGATGGGTCCTTTGTGTATCTACATCTACATCAGTAACTTTTCTTCCTCAGGATATTTCCCTCTTTTTGTGAATTTGAGGCCATAGAATCTTACCTATCCTGAAACCTTGGTAATCTATTCTCCTAAATCTGGAGAGCCGGAGTATCCCTGGCTTTCTCCTCCTCTATCACAAATTCTAAAATGGAATAACAACTTTATCCCAAGGCTCCTGTAATTTCTACTTCACTGACCAATTTCTCTTTGTTGATCTGAACCAGACTGAAAAGAACAGTGAGTTCCCCTTGTCACTTATTTTATCTTTTGAAAAATGAAATAATCAATGAATCAAGTCAAGAATTTATCAGCTTGGCTTTGGGCGGCCTGAAAGTGTTAGCGGATGTCTGGATAACTTAAATCCCCTGCTGCTGCTATATTATGCCTCCATGCAGGTTAGTACTCCTCTCCCATCCTCACAGAACATGCTCCACCTCTGTTTCCCCTTCTATTAACCCTTACGCAACATTCCCCTCATCATGCTCCCTGCCTTGGGTTACTAAGTTTCCACACATAAATATATCTTCTTAATACATAATATTAATCCATTGTTGTATTTTTCTATTGATTAATTTTGAATGAGAATAATCCTATTCTCGGCTTAAGTCTCATCCAGTTAAGTCTAAGTGACATCTAGGAAGTCAGGCAGTAAGTCCACTTTGCTCTGCTCACTTTCTATATATAGGGTGACCAGACATCCAGGCTGCCTATTTGATCACTGACTCTTTTCTCAGAAGTTGTCTTCCATCTGTCATTGATATTCTTCTTCTCATGCTTCATTGGCTGCTCTGTACTATGAGACGGCAATGCTGTTGCAAATTTTGCACAAACACGTTGTATCAGCCTTCATTATATATACTTTGTCCCTAGTTAAGAACTCTTCATTCCTATATTTTAAGCTAGTGATGTTAAACTCAAATAGAAACAGATCTCCACAGATAGCATACTGACTTACAAAATCACAAATTCACATTCTTATGTGGTATTATATTTTTATTTCTTTTGTTAAACACTTCCCATTTATATTTTAACTTGGTTTGGCCGCAATTAGGAGGTTTCCATGTGAGTTTGACACCTCTCTTTTAAGCCATGGTTCAGAAATTAAAATCTCATTCTCTATATTCCAAACCAGCTATTCACAGGACTCCTATAGAAGTAAAGTTATTAGCAAGACTTCATGTAATTATTTTCCTCTCCCTAAGCACCAGTTCAATTTCCTCATTTTATAAACAAAGTCATAAAAATGACTCAGTGAAGTCACTTCCCCATAGCTAGTGGCCAAAATAGGACTAGAATCCAGGTCTTCTGAATCCCAGGCCAACAGCTGTTCTATTACACCTTAGAACAACTTTGTGCCATGATGAGTATAAAGGATATTCTGCTTTATTCCTCAAAGTGCTCTTTCACCTATACCTGCTCCACTCCCTACCTCAAAAAGATTAAAGAAGAGATACATCCATATGCACAAAAATATTTTTAACAGCAGTACTTTGTGACATGGCCAAGAATTGGAAACTATGGAGGATGCTCATCTATTGTAACAGAATATTACTGGGCCACATGAAATGATAAAGTGATTCAGAAAAATCTGGGAAAAATGATATAAACTTGATGCAGAGTGAAGTGATTCTTTGTAGAACCAGGAGAGCAATTTATACAATGACTATAAAATGATAAAGAAAAGCAGACTGGAAAGACTTAAGAACCCAATCAATGCAATGAGCACTCTTATTCCAGGGGGCCAATGATAGAAAAGCGATGGACCCAAGGTGCAGATTGAGACACATATTTCAGTTTGATTATGCTGATTTGTTACAAAGGAGGATTTTGTTTCATATTGTTTTATTCTGGGGGATGTTTAGAAGGGAGAGGGGAACTATTAGTGATAGTAACAACAAAAAAGGGGAAAATAGGAAAGAGGGTAGTAATTGAAGACTTTTTTTTTAAAGCACAGATGAAAAGGAAGTTCAGAGGGAGATACAGACAAACAGAACAGTTTTGAAACTAATATGTTGAATTTATTATATACTTTTAAGAACAAAATTGTAAAAAAGATTTGTGTAGTTTCATATGCAATCTTTTTGTTCTCTTCTTCCTTATATATGGAAATATCCATGTTTATTGGTGTTTGTCATGTTCAGAACAACCAAAAATTTAAAAATTTATTTCAAAAAATTCAATTCAGTTCCCCTATTCTCTGTACAGGGCACTATGCTGAGTGGGTGGTTGTATAGCAACCGGGAAATTACATTAAATTAATAAATTCAAGACTTTTATAATAATATAATATTATGTTGATATATACAGGACATTACATAATGACATATATATATATATATATATATATATATATATATATATAAAAAATTTAATGATTTATAAACACTGGTGTTCCCCACATGTCTTATCTTACCTTGATCTTTTGGAGGTACCAATAAAGAATTTTCCATTGTGATGTCTTTGGCTTTCCTTAAAAAAAAAAGAAAGAAAGAAAAGAAAAGAAAAAGAAAATAAACATTATCACAAACATTAGAAAATAATTTAACATATGCTATAACCAAGTTCTAATGCAATATTTATTTTCACCTGTATTTATAAAACAAATTTTTCAGGACTCATAAAATTTTAATAAGTAGATGAATAATCATAAATGAACAGTCCATTGAGCAGTTCACTTAGTTCTCAATGTATAACCAGGTAACTTTTTTTCTCTTTCATCTTAATATAAGGTATCTCTGATACCCAATGTTTTAATTAAGCTGACTTCTTGATAAATTGGCAATTTTGCATACCAATAATGTCAATAATGATATCTTCTGAAACATTAGTGATTTATCTATATAGTTTATATTATAAAATATAATTTATCTATATAATGTATACATAATGTTTTCAGCATAACATTGGTGTTAAGTGTGTAGTTAACACCTCACTTACTTGGGGGGTCAAATTTTCAGCAATTTCAGTCATTGGAATATAGCTCTTAATCCATAAATAAATGTAAAAGGCCAACATAACTGTTACAAAGCCCATGCATTTTCCTCTGGGGAAGATGCCTTCACTGACAACCTACTGACGCTCACAACATACAAAAATAACAATATGACTATTTTTAACAAAGCAAATTAGAGTGAAAGGGTTGGGAGGAAAGGGAAAGTGAGCTGCTACAAGTGTATACAATAACAACAATGCTGTAACAGCTGAAAATGGGAGGTAACATGCAAAAATGTGTTAACTGAAAAATATTGTTATCTAGTATAATTTATTGTAGGAGGAGAAAATCTTACACAACTCAATAACTCTTGATGACAACACTACTAAGTCACAGTATAATAATGATAACAGTCATAAAAAAAGGTTATGTTCAATACATTCCTTTCAGAAGTGGAGGAATTTTATAATACATTTCTCAAAGATTTCCATTAATAATAGTCTTAAAATATTCTGAAATAGTTCGGAATTCTTGGTTTTGAAAGTTTTCAACTTCAGTTATTTGGAACATCCACTTATATGAAATCCTTTATTCCTCTACCACGTCAAGCAAATAAGAAGACAGAGACCTCAACTCCTTCTCATTATCACAGCAGGATATTTGAGTAAATGGAAAGGGCTGATGTTCCCCACACAAGACTCCTCTTCCTGCTAAGCAAGTGGTTCTCACTGCATTAACCATAGTGTTTGTAGAGTATCATCTCCCATTCTAAGGATGAAAATTTCCAGTACAGTCTATTCTATCATAGAGTTTTTTTGGGACTAGATCCTGCAGCAACATGAACTTGGAAATTTGCAGGTATTCCTTCTCTCAACTCCATAAGAATTTCCTAGGTAAGCAAACCTACTACAGAGACACACAATTCTCTCCAGATAGGGGGTGTCTGGTCTTTGGGTAGAACTGTAGGCCTGGTGCCCATGCCTCCTTCCCACCTTCTGCTGTGACCTCACAAGAAGCTGCTTTTGTCGATCTCCCCAGGGACTTAGCCTGCTGGCAATGCTGTTTTACTGTCCCTTACTCTATGTCCTGCAGAGTGACAGTGAGTGCTGAATACAATTTGCAGTTCTCTTTTAAACTTAAAAACCACAGCTACTAGCATGAATACCACACAGCTTATGATCAAATGATAATATTGGCCATCACCTTAATGGGACCCCTATTAATATCTCACTGGATAAAGTATAAGGAATGTTTATGCTTTCAGTTTCTTCATCATTACAAAATATCATTTAAATTGGTCACGATATGCTAACTGCTAACAGTCTCTACAGAGGTTTTTCAGTTAACTTACCTCCTTATCCAGACATTCAAATGAAGCAAATTAATATAAAGAAAAATGTAATCCTACAGTCTAAAGTTTTTTTTATCAGTCTCACAGTATTAAGAATACTTTGGTTCTTATATGGCTCTGTGATCTCAATTATGGGGGTGCTCTCTCCAATGAAGAAACGCATGACCCATTCTGGCTTGTCCACAACCTGTGTGTCTCTTGTCCACATCTTCCTGGAAATCCTCACCAAGAATACACCTTATATGCCAGGGGCCTCCCCCTAAATGTCTTAGAATAGCTTAGATACCAATGAAGCACATGGGCTATTAGTTATCTTTCATTCTCCCTATGTGACTAGATTTCTGGTCACACATCTCTTCTCTATGCTCCTTCGTGAACAATAATAGCATTTCAGGGACTAGATTAAAAGTCAGTGAAAATGATCTTTATCAGCTGAAGATAAGAATGTTGGAGTTTGGGCAGCCAAGCTAGGACACACAAGCCCCAATGCATCTATGATTTCATGGATGTAGGCATTCCTTCCAAGGATGCAGAATACAATTCATTCATCCTAACTACTCTGTGTTATTCTCAAACGTGTCCTGTATTAAATTCACCATTGGGAATCTGCCCAATTTACTATGGGCCTTTCTTGAGTTTTCTTAATATTGAAGGGATACTACTAATTTTTTCCTTCTATTTTAATCTTTGTTATTAGAGAAGGCTTATTGGATGACAAAATAACAAGGGTATATATGTATATACTAATATGATATAACAACAAAGTACATCAATAAAAACATTTTTAAAAGAGGTAACTTCAAAGCTCAAACACTGAAGGTTGAAGGCATACCAACAACAGAGCACAGAAGCTGTCTGTCAGCTATTACTCATTCGGGCTATGTGACCTATCACATGCTTTCTGGTCATGGTTATGCACATTTTTTAAAAAAAACTAGTATTTTATTTTTTCCCGGTTACATGTAAAAACAATTTTAACATTCATTTTTAAAACTTTGATTTCCAAATTCTCTCTCTTCCTACCTCCCCACCTCCACCTTCATTGAGAAAGCAAGCAATTTGATATAGGTAATACATGTACATCCTTTTTTTGAAGGTATTCTTTATACCATTTCTCCTGCATAATTCCTTATCTGTAATGTGTTCAAACCCACCCACAGCCACCAAGTGCCCCTCCACTGCCATCTGGATGGTCCACAACTTCTTCATAGACTGGTGAGTTCTATGACTTGCAGACATAAATCAGCACTAGGTCGAATACTGTTGTTAAAAGGTGGGTCTTTGTTTCAGGGAGAAGCTTGAGATCATTAAAAGGATTATGAAATTTCCCAAAGGTAATCCATGCACATGTCAAAATCATACAAGATTCCTTGAAAGATATAATAGAGAAAACCTTGTTCAATGACACTGATTATTAAAATCAAGTGAGACAAAACAAGGAGATGTATAATCGCTGAAGATGTTCATCACTATGATACAGTGCAGAATACAAACTGAAAAGGGATTGCCCATAGAGGAAGAGGTTCTCCATAGCTCTTTTCTGTGGATATCATTTTACTGACTGAATCAAGTCCAGAATATTGCAGGGCTTTCTAATGAGACCCATAATTATCCAAAATGGTTCAGCCTAACTATTAACAGAGGTAAAATTAAGTAGATGAGGACTGCCTATTATTTAGGCTATAACATTCAGCTGGATGGGCAACCTAAGAGTTCACTCAACATATAAATCTTGGGCAAACACTCCAATTAGGCAATGAATGGGACTTAGAACTGAACAGGAGAACAGTATATACCTTAACATATGGCATATATAGCAACAGCTTACTGAATGGGACATCTTTTTCTTTTCTTTTTTTTTGGGGACGTCTTTTTCACCAGAATGTTCTATTTTCTGACTTTGAGGGAAAACATAATTTATTTTATAAATTTACCACATACAAAAGGATGATGCATTAAATAGCTGCTTCTCTCTGAGTGTTTTATAGGCATCATCCAAGCAAAGTCAACATGCCCACACCTTAAGAAATACAATCCTTTGTCGGCATGTAGGCAGCTCTTTGTTCCTGAGCACCATACAAAAGTTCCAGATAATTATAACCTGACTTGCCTCACTTGGATTGCTGCAAAGTGCATTAATAAGAAAATCTATCAAAAAGGAAGAAAAATTAAAGAAGGCAGACTGTTCATGCCATCAATTACAGCAAGAGCTAATATAGTATGCTTTATAAATCACTCTTACATGCTTACTTTTAATTTTGGTTAATATACCATATTTAAACATAGTTGATTAAAAATGAAAATCGAGTGAATTGGTTGCTTGAGGAAAGTGACAGCTTGATGGTACTGGAAATAGAAATCTTTCATTTATTCCTAGGACAGGGACTGCAAAGACAGAAGCCAGTCCAACTTCTTTATGCTACCCTGCTAACGTCCCTAAATATGAGGTGGGATAAAACTCTTTAAGAAGTAAAAGGAAAATCACTTTCTGCAAACCTAACTCAACCTCATTATTCTTAGTACTTTTCTTTTTTTCTGCTGTGGGCACTAATCAGAAGAGACTGGGCTGAGATCACAATTTCATTGCATAATGGCTACAAATCAATTCCCAGTCAGATATTTTCCATTATTTGCATTATTCTGTCTCCTTCCCAGCAATCTCCTGGCCATGGGGATCTCCACCACCACCACTGTCTCCATCTCTTCTCTACCTAAAAACTGACTGTACCTCTAGAAGCACCCTGGGCTCTAACAGGTCATCGTGGGCCTTATCTTGCCTAGATTAAGGGCTCTACCACCCTTCCATCTGTGCTTCCATCTATATGCTATGCTGGTGCCCATCCACATTCCAGCTCCCCCTTATGTGTTCTCTTCCCCCATTAAAATCTAAGAACCTTCGTGGCAGGGACTTGCTTATATTCGTATCCGTTGTGGCTGAAACAGGGCCTAGCATACAGTAACCATTTAATGCTTTATAGGTTTACCTATCCATCCAAGTAAAAAAACGTATGTTACCAGTCCACTCCTATTCAGAAAAATGTCACGATAAAGAATTTTGATTAGAGGATTTGAAAAGTGAGAACATGAAATAAAAGATGTGACTTGGGTATCTCTTAATCAGTTCCCTGCATATCAAGACAATTCTTCTAACCCAGTACCTACTGAGAATATGAACTGAAAGCACCT